TATATATATATGTATGTGTATATATATATGTATGTGTATATATATATATATATGTATGTGTATATATATATGTATGTGTATATATATATATATATGTATGTGTATATAGATGTGTATGTATATATATATATAGATGTGTGTATATAGATGTGTATGTATATATATATATATGTGTGTATATATATATATATGTATATATATATATATGTGTGTATATATATATATATGTGTATGTATGTATATGTGTATGTATATATATGTATATGTATATATATGTATATGTATATATATGTATATGTATATGTATATATGCATATATATATGCATATATATGCATGTGTGTATATATATGCATGTATATGTGTATGTATATATATGTATATAAAAAGATCAACTGTGGACCAAGGTATATTTGTCATTTTCAGTCTGAGATGGCCAGCTCTGATGACAGTGGTGTCTTGTTTCATGTGGGTAAGTGATGCTGAGCACTGTTCTTCTTCATTACAGTCCAGAATGGAGCCAACAGAGCAGCCGGGTCCAGACTCTCAGGAGGTCAACCCTGTGTTCCTGCAGCAGCTCCGGGAACTGGACATCCCAGAGGAGGCCGCCAAACAGGTGGGCCACTGGTGATGGCATGTAGGCCACATTTCCATCAACATTCAGTGATGATTAGGACTGGGACTGTTGCATAGCTGACTTCATGGTACATCAAAATGTCTGAAAGTGTACAAACATGCATACTTCATACTGTCATCAGGTACTCCCTTATTTAATGGGATCTTGATAATGCACATTACTTTTGAACACTGCCTATATTTGAACTGTAGCTCCCTGGTAGGGCTTCATTCACAGTGCTAATCACATTTTCTATGAGTGACAATGGCACATTTCTACTGTGAATGACCCCATTGCTGACCTTCAATGATCAATACTATATAATGTGAACACTGCATTACTGGACAGCTTCCATGCTAAACGTTCCAATTCACTGCTGTTACATGGACAATATTATCTCATGATCAAATTCTATTGTTCATGCTAATTGTCGTCTGGGAGCGTTTCTACGATACAGAGCTGGAAGCTTATCTAACACAAGAGGGTGACTAATGCTGCATGATAACACGTTATGTTGGAGGACAAAAGCAGGATGGTAAAGGCATTTTATAGCTACAATGATAAAAATCAATGACACAAATTATTTGAATTATTATATTTGACTCCATCACCATAGCAACATAACGTTTGGCGGTCCTGCATTCTATCAGACTGAACAGACTAGGCTTCTCTTTAATGTATCAGCATACAGACTTACTTGGTTTATTGCTGTTACATCCAACAGCTCAAAACCAGCAATAGTTGAATATCCTAACTAATGATTCAGTATTAACAGAGCAGTGGGATTGAACCAATTTAACTGACTGAATGTATTTAATCAGAATTGGCTTTATTGGCCAAGTATGCTGACGCATACAAGGAATGTGGCTTTTTTTTTTTTCATCTCCCCCTCATTGTTTAGTTGATCAGCCAAAATGGCATGGCCACACTATCATTCACTGCTCTGACCTTTGCTCATTGTTTCTCACCACTTCAGGCACTTCTACACACACGGAACGTGTCTGCCGAGGAGGCGGCAATGTACTACTTCAACAAGCTGGAGAATGAGGTGCCCATAAGCTAGCCTTAGTCCCCACAGGTACACCGTGGTACTTTAGACCTCGTGGAGTTTGTCCAGAGCCAAACCTCAGTATCTCCTTTTGTCTGCTCTGACCCGCAGGAGGAGGGAGACGATGACCTCGTGTTCAAGATGGTGTTTGTGGTGAACATGGACCTCGCCATGGGTGTTGGAAAGGTGAGTCCAGCGGCGCCAATGTGGACTGTGTGGGATATATGCTGCGTTCAAATGCACGGTCCATCTTAACGAACGTGTCCTAATATTTAACAAAGGCTCGGATGTGGTCTGTTGCCCCACTGGCTAAAAATATAGGAATTACTTTTAGCTCTTTAATCACCACTGTCTCTGGTTTGACAGTGAAAGCTGCTATAAGTGTTCTGTTATTTCACTAAACATGTCTTTAATTTGCATTCGTCTGTAATTTTCCACGTTCTCCCAATAATTGATACCTACCAGGTTCTGAGTGGGAGAGGTTCTGCTCTTATCAGTCGCACAGAAATAGTGATTTCATGCAAATATTGTTTTTAGCTTGAGTTTGCATTCTAATAGAAAAGAATGAAATGTTTTTTTTCAATGCAGTTATCTTTTTCAAGTTTAGTGATCAACGTTACTTGAACTTGGCCACAAGAGGCACATGAAGCCGTTTTTAGTCCAGCTGTAACCGGATCCCTGCTGAGGTGTGTGCTCAGTGCTGTGTGTTTGTGCAGGTGGCGGCCCAGGTGGGCCACGCTGCTGTGGGTCTGTACCAGGCTCTACAGGAGAAGAACAGCTGGAGGGAGATGGCCTGGAAGTGGGACCACAGTGGGTAAGGCCTGCACCGTGTGTTGGTAGAGAACATGTCACTTGTAATTTAAACAACCACTAGTGGTTTGCACTGTATACGTGAACATTGAAGATGTGTAAATCTGTTAGATTTTAACTTTCAGCGGCCATACATTTAACAATAAATAATCAAAACAAAGCCTATGAGTTGCAAGGTATGAACTTTGAAATACACAATGCACAATTGCACAATCACCTTCATGCTACACAAGAAAAACAAAACGTCCAATCAGGAGGAGTTTAAACAGCAGCTACAGAAACGCTGTTGGCTTCTCTGGCAGATAATATGGCCGGCATCTTCACATTAAAAGTTGACCACCAAAGACTACGGTTGAGCACAAAGCGTCACTGATGTAATCAAAGAGTCCACCCCCCCTCGTCTCACCGCTGTCGTGCACTCTTTCACCGTGGAACACACCGATCCAGGATGCCACGATTGATCCAGTTCATCTGCCGCTGTCAGCAGAAATCTAAAATGTTCCTCCGTTAATGCTTCAGATCCTGAAGTGTTCACGCCTTTCACCCTCTAGTCTCTTGAATTTAAAAAGACAAAGTCCTGCCACTGTGCAACCTTTGCTTTTACAATCATTGGTCCACCATCTGTGTGTGTGTTCTGGGTTCTCTACACTGGGTTCTGTAGAATTGCTCAGTTCAGTCAAATGTTTCATTGCTGATATAAACATTTATTTTACATAAATAAATGCATTGTGTTGATACAGAGCCAAGAAGGTGGTGGTCCAGGGCACCAATGTGGCTCATCTACTGGAGCTGCAGGCCCTGGCCATGAGCCTCAGCCTGCCCACCTACCTGGTGCAGCATGCAGGGATGACCCAGGTGAGGGAAACGAGACATTTTAGAGTTATCTTGTGTGTAAATGTCTGTAGGTATCCCCAATATATTATATATAATATATAAATTACTGATACTCGTATATCTGGTTAAAAAGCGGTTGTGTAAGTGTTGTGACATGAAGACAATCTAAACCCTTCTTGTGTTGGGCAGGTGGAGGCCGGGTCCCGCACTGTGTTGGCCATCATGGGCGAGGAGGAGATGGTGAACAACATCACTGGGAGTCTGAAGCTGCTCTGAGGGGCTCAACCCCACTGGGGGGGAAGGCATTGCTCTGCAGTGCCACCGTGCATCCAGCAGAGGGCAGCGTTTCCCAGCGGCAGGCAGAGTCTTGGCACGCAAGCTTGTAACAACCTTTAAAAAAAAAAAAAAAAAGACCTAAAGAACAAGGGAAAACGAGACATGTCCCAACACCAGAAAACACACACCCTCAGCCATTTGTTTCCCTTTCATTCTTTGTCTGAGCCGCTTAGTCGGCCGTTAAGAGCAGGAGGGGAGACCAGTGGTTCACAGGGGAACGGGGCAAAGGCAGTGGCTTTATTTTTTCTGGTGACCTTTTTCAATCAGGCCACCTACTTAGAGGAGAGTCTTAAGATTAGAATCCTAATCAAGCTTCAAACACATCTAGTCTGTGGTCCAGTTTCAGATATGGCAAAGTAAAATCATGTATTTTTGGTGGCTGACCAATATTGTAATCATGCTTATTCAAGGGGCAGTGTACTGTAGAATAATGCATCATGTCATTATAATTAGCATAGCAGATGTAGTATTTACCCATTTGATTCACTACTCCTGAGTGAAGAGTAACTTATTAACTCATAATGCGTGAACACTCATTTTTAATGTTTAAATGATTTTGTGTCTAACTATTCTCCCAAAGATCCCTCTCCTATAGAATCAATGACATTACTCATTATTGATCAATGGCTACATTTTGAATACATTATGCCATATAATGTATAATCTGTGTTGTGCCATCCTAAACAGTATGCACAGTTACTGGACTTTGTTATATTGTTTTTCTTTTCTTTGTGTAAAAAGAAGAAAATCCTCCATTTCTTTGACTTATTGGTAGAGTTTGACGGTGGGCGAGAAGTTGTGTGGATCCAAAATGTCATGTAGTAAAGCTGTGTGCGGGCCCAACTTTATGCACTCTGACTGCCTGTGGTGGATAGTTTACACTTTTAAAGTTGGTCAATTTACAGCTCGACAGATACTTGTGTGTGTGTGTATAGCAATTCTTCTGGACCTGGTGAATAGTGGTGCGCACTAATAATCTTAATACACACAGAAGGATGTGTGAGCTGTTGTGTCTATGTTCTCACTACAAATATTTGTGGGCATGAGCTGCCTCTCCCAGAAGTCTTAGCTTATTGTCAAAGATTTTATTTGTAACAAAAATCTTTAGAAAAAAAAAAGACTGGCAGTGGCATGCACGCAATATGAAATGTACATTTTAACAGTCGGAATCCCAAAGTTATGTCAATTTTAGTAACATGTCCTCACTTTGATACCTCCTATGTTATACAGTCATTTATGTGAGTGTTTCAGACTATGGAGACAATTAAAAATGCCTCCAGATTAAATAACGAGCATCTTGAATCGTGTTTTTACCCCCCACACACACGCCCCACACTCACACACGAGAGAGATTTGCTGGCAGTGGACGCATTGTGGGGGATGGGTTGAACGCAGCCATATTGCAGTGCGTGGTTATAGCACTGGCCATATGACATCGTTTTTTCACCGCAATAACAATGGCAGTATAGTGAATTATGGCCGCTTCCTGCCATGGGAGTCCGGCTGAGGGACGTGTAAACTGTCCTTCACGTATCACTCTCATGACGGTCCGTGGGAAGTGATTTAACGGAAAACAACCCGAGAAGTTGCCACAAAAACGGACGTGAAAGTGGCGATTTATAAGTGAAATTATAAGTACCGTCAAACATGAAGTCAATGCACTTATATGTGACCCTTTCGGCTGCTATGGGGCGTAACGTTAGCGGTTATATAATTAATCGACTAAGAAATGCATTCTGCCTCGATTGTGTCGAGCCGTATCACCGAGTTCACCTTGTATGTATCCATACGCAAATGCAACAGTCAGTGTGTTTCCTAGTAATTACTTATGAAGCTCGGAGTCTTCATCAATTGTTTTCTGGAAGCCGCACATCTGCAACAATTGCATTACACTGCTGTCTAATTCCGTGGCTTGTAAGACCTGTGCAACAAATGACGTTGGCATTTATCACCGCAGCCAATCAGTCGCCCCCCACAAGTCTCATGACAGGACAAGAAGCCAATGGCGTCACTGCGACTATATGTTTATAAACAGAAGTCAAAATGATATACTTGTATATTTTTAAAAATGTTTGTAAATCCAGTGTGCGGTGGCTAAACCACTGACTTTAAAATATTTAACAGGAAACGAGGGCTGCGTGTCAATTCTCTTCATCTAACTTCATCACAGCAAAGGCTGCACTCAATTCTTTTCGCCCGTTCTTTAAATACAACTTCCAGTAATAGTTTTTATTGAGTAGCTGCTGATTAGAGGTACTTTCGTTGTGTCGGTCACATTTTCAGTGTCTGCAAAGTGTGGGAATAGAAGTAGGAGGGACCAGAAATAAGTAGATGCGCCCAGGAGCCCTGGTCAATTTCCCTGTCCAACCTGGTCCAATCCCACACCAGTTGCTAGCAGAGTAACACCTCATACTCCATTCATCTGATACACCGGTAGGTGGGGCTGACCCAGCGGGCTAACCCTGCCTCTGGTGTCCCTGGAACTGGGCCCCAGAGACCCCATGCAGCTAACGCTTGCTCCTATCTATGAAAGCTCCTTCGACGTTAAATAGATGAATATAACGCTCGAATAAAAAAACATTAATCCCACTAACGAATTCAAATGAATTCCATGGCATTCGAATTTAATAACGAGCATTTCCCGGAACCTTTGAAGGTACAGATCCTTTGTTGGGTGTGAAATTGTCCCCCGAATCCAGCCACTCTCTCTTTGCTATACTCCTTGTACGCCAACAGCACACGCATATTATAATGTGACTGAAACTTCGCACCCCTCCTCTGAGCAGTGCCCGCCCCGTCTGACGTAGTTGACGGAGAAAAAAAAATCGATGCTGTAATTTAGCTCAGACTTGCATCTATCGCGCGTGTGTAATATGACTGACACATTGCTGACGAATCATTGGCGAGAGGCGGGACATCGCAGCAAGGGCCGCCCAAGGAGAGAGCCCCTGCTCTGTCGCCAGGAAAACCCCGTGGCGTGGTTGTGTGTCAGTTTCGCTGGGACCCGCGGTCGATGCCGGTGAGGAGGGGGATGGGCGCCTCTGCGAATGTAAGGACCCGAGACAGAATCAGAGCCCTGTATCACATACAGCAGCATATACCCCATTATAAATAGCGATAGTATATATAATACACTAAAATACATGGATTTATCCACCGGGGATCTATAATAGACACTCAATGGATGCAGTGCACCTGAACAGGACAGGGAATTTAACTTTCCGTCTATGCGTGGGAGACACTGAGAAGTTTGTTTCCTACCCCTGCAGAGGGAGCTACTTTTAAGGGCAAAGGATACAGGAGACTCCGAGGCCGACCTACAGGCCTACTGGTCTGTTTGGATTTGATGTTGGGATACTCTAAGGACCCACTATACATGCGTTTGCCTTGCTTGTTCAAGTTTGGAATGCCTCTTTAGGTGAGTACTTTTACTTCGTGTTCATTGTTAATATCACCCTCTATAGATGGAGGCAGTAACTCAAATGTTAACATAAGTAATGTTATTACAGACACATAGTGCTCCATGTTTTCAGTCAACCAAACATAGCTATGAAGCTAACGTTAACCAACTTGGCTTACTACTTAGCGTCCACTTAAGTTTATTAGAACAAGTTGGTTGATCTTTCCACTTTAAAGTGACTTGCTTGGCTAAAAGGCTCCATGTTGATGGTCTGCCTTGCAGGGCTGCTCTTAGCTGTGTCTGGACTGATCTTCCATGACTTTTTGATCAGCTCCTTGTGTTGATTTTTTGGTAGCTAGCTTGTAAATCTGGGAATTCATCACATTACTAGTTTATAAAAGCGAACATTACAACATTATTTCAAGCAACCGTGTCCCAAAAGCTCTCAACACCATTATCCAAGTTTCCAAGAGTTTGACTCGTGTAACGTTTAGTCCATTAAGGGTGCCCTCAGTTCAGTTTTTATCTCAGTTTTCATACCAGGAATGATCCAGTAATACATGGCTATGGCTTTAAAGTACCAATTAGATATATTGTGTTTTGACCACAGCCCACTAAGCTACAAATTGAAGTAACGTTTAATAAATCCACCTTGGGTTTGTTAAGCAAGTTTCTCTAATGTGTTTCCGCAGAGGCTTGATATTCCCTAACGTTACAAAGTCAAAACAACACCACCAGCACATTATAGGGACTTCATTCGCGTTTGTTGCACAGTTATTAGGTTGAATTGATAGAATAACGTTGGACCTGCATACCAGCTCTTGGGCAAGGAAGTTCAGACTCAGACCGCGTAAGGTAAAATGCAAACTTGTTTTGTTCGAACCAAAACATGTATTTGGCTCTGCTCTTTTGACAGCAATGTATTGAGTGTTGTTCTGGGACCACAAAACTGTCGAATTTTGTAAAAGTTATCCATGACACAACTTGCAATTTGATAATTATTTGCGACTCCTGTTAGCCAAGCAACCAGCTGCTGTGTTGGTGAACGTTAGCAGACGAGCCATAGGCAACAAATGCTATACTAGCCTTTAAGCTAACTTTCTGGATGTTTTCCAGTTGATTGTGTCCTTATTGTGAACCAGTGCTTTGGCACACACTCGGTGGACCTTCAGCGTTACCTCTGCATGTAACGACGTATTTATAAGATATTGCAGTAGGTTTCTGGACTAATATGTTTAGTTTTATGAAAAATATGGTTTGTATCATGGTGGTGTTTGGCTACATCATGTTAATGCATTTGTCTTCCTGCAATGCATTCCTAACTTCGCTCTGGCGTGTGAATCAAGCTGAAAGCTAGGTTGTGCTTGTGTTTTTTTTCCCTATTTCCCTTTCCGTGCGTGTGTGTGTGTGTGTGTGTGTGTACGCACGCACGCAGCAATCAGAAAAGCAGATCTGTTGGGTAGTGACTTGCTCTTCTTCACCTCCCCCACCTACCAACCCCCAGCCTCGGTGGCGGTTAAGAGAAATGAGTGGTATTTTAGAGGGGAGCTCTTGTTTCCTTTTTTAGCCTCCATTTTTGATCTCAACGTGTGAGTAAGGGCGAGTAGCATTGTTGAGTCGGAATGCAGCAGTCACAAGTTTCGACCAAGTTAGAGACCTCGCAGCTGCTATGTTTATAAAGACCAATCGGGTCTTTTCTTTATTATGAGAGAAAGCTACATTATTTCAAGAATCAAGACTTGGTCTCCAGATTAAGCTATGCCATGTCATTTTCACGGTGTAGTTGATAATCATTTCCAGGTTAAATGAAACTAACATAACTGCGACAAGTGATACGGGGAATGCCTAAGATATTCAAATGAGCCTTGCCCTGCGTATGTTTTTGGTGAGGTTATTATTTTTTTCAGGACCCCGCGGTTTCCGAGCACTAATGGCTGCCCTAACCGTCGCCTAAGTAGCTGTGCTCCACTCAGCTGCACCACGCAGCCTCGCATTGTGCTGCGCCCCCGAGTCCGGAGCAGTGGACACAGCGAGCACACAGAGAAAGGCGTTATTTGGCTCTATTGGACGCGGTTATGTCAATTAATGTGTCACCGGATGTGTGACGACCTCTCTGCAGGGATATTTGTTTCTGACCTGTCTTAACTTCAGCAGGTCGTACTTTAAACGCATCACTCTTTATACTCAGCAAACATCTTTGCTTGAATTGGATTGAATGTTTTGATATTACAAAATCTGGTGTCATGGTGAATCGGTCACAGTCATATTTAGGTGCTTGGTTGCTCACTAAAAGCACTGCACAAACTAATCCAGTACATTCCAACCAAACATGATATTTCAAAATCCACTTAATAAGTTGATTTGAGATGGAAAATAATGTATTTGTGGCTTCAAGTCGGTGTGTTTTTCCAATCCGGCGTCGACTTTGCTCCATGAGTACAAAGATTACACCTGTGCCCTGCTGGGGCCGTTCAGCCAGCACCAAGTATTTGGATTGATCCTCTTGATGCCTGTTGGAAGCCAGATTGCAGCGCACTGAGCCTTGTTTTGATTGGTTGCGACTGACATTCTCTGAATATGTTTCACATCTTATAATAGACTGTGTGGGCTGCAGCTAGCAAACCTGGCCTCTCGGAACCCATCGGAAAGACAAGCCCCTCCAGCATTTCCCCTGACCCTGGCGTGCCTTTTTAATTCACCCCCTACCCTGGGAAAGCTAAGAATGAATTGCTCGGCTGCATGTTGTTGCTCTGCCTCGGACTGCCCGCCATGTTTTTTTTTTTTCCAGGCCTCTCAAGCAGCTTCCGATTATGTGAGATACATGTGTTAGGAGTGTTTAGTTACAACAATTGGTGAAAGAGCAGCACTGTGCGAGTGGATCAGTCTGCAGGACGGACCCAGTAGTGGCCTCTGAAATGTTGGAGATCTGAGGAATGTGCAGACATGCAACGTTGACCTAGCCCAGTTTTTCTTGTTTACTGAGGAAATAAAGTCTCATTCACGTTCACACAGTGGTTACAATCCAAGAAATGTAATTGTTGGGTGACGTGCCCTTGAAAACACATTTAGAATATGTGAGCGCTGCGTTCCGATGTGTGGATCTTACTGCGTACAAAATTTAAACTCTGGTGTGTGTGTGCGCACACTAGTACAAGACAGAGTGAATCAGGATGTTGGCCCATTTCCAAAAGAAGAAGACAGGATTCTGTCTCGATGCAGACGGTTGGAGAAGAGGGAGCAGGGGGTGTTGCTGTCAGGAATAGGAATGGGGGGGCTGTCCTTTTAGCTTCCATTTGCATGCTGATGCCGCTCTATCATTACATGGAGGGCAGGTGTAGCTATTGATATGTTAATGAGGTTTGCGTGTGTTGTGCCTATGTGACCAAGTCAACCAAGCCAGTGTTGTTAATCTATGGAAGCAGAAATATCAAATACAATACAAACAGTGAGAAGCACTTGTTTGCATTTTGTCTCTAGAATGTTGTTCGACTACACTGCATTTTATTAGCAACTGAAGCTCGTCTTGTTTCCTTAAGTTAAGCCCTGAGAAATATTAAAATGTTTATTCACATCTATACGTGTATATTTTTTTATTTACTTTGCATATGAAAAGTAATGCTTTTTAGATTTATATCCTGTCCATGTTTTCCCCCAATTCCTTCTGTTGTGTGAGAGTCAGCCACGAGATGCTTCCTGCCTTTGCTTTTTAATTTCGGGGACATATGCATCACTGGTCCATCCAGCTTCCCCTCTCTCTGCGTCTCCCCCTCTGCAGCTGCCCGTCTGTTGTGTGTGGCTCGCTGTCTTGCACAACGGGGTTAAAAACAAGTCGCTCCGACGCCTGCCTCACCGCCGCATTGCTATTGGTGCAGGAGCTCTGGAGCTGCTCCAATGGGGCGCAGCATTTCCTTCTGCGTTGGGGGAGCGGTGTTGCAGAGGGTTGTGCTGGTTAATTCTGTTTCGTGCCGAGAAGCAATGCTTCTTGGGAGAATAATGGAGGAGGAGGAGGCGGCTCGGGGAGAAAAAAAAACAAGGCCGAAAAGGGGGGGTGAGGCAGGCAATCTACGTAATCATCTCTTTCTCTCGCTCTCGCTCTCTTGTTTTATTGCACCCTTATGTTTTGTCCTTCATTTCCTTTTCTTTCTCTCACTGTCGCGCTGCCTTTCTTGTGATTCTTGGCCGATCGTGTAGCAGGAAAAAAAAAAGCTCACCAATATTCCGAGTTGTCCGTCCACCTTTAGAACTGCGGGCAGACATTTTAGGCTTCACCACATTAACCCTCCTCTCTCTTTCCCTTCCCACCCTTTCCTCTGGTCCCACTTGTTTCTTTCTTTCATGCAGCCTAACCAAGGAGTGCAAATAATGATTAAATGATTCAAATACTTTGTGTGAGGTGAAACCTAGGTTGCAAAATCTACAAGCACATTTCCAATTGTGTTTGCTCAGAGGGTGTTGTCAGGCAGAGAGAGAGAGAGACGGAGAGAATAAGGAGCAGGGCAGAAGAAAAACAACCAAGAAGAGCATTTGCACCAAAGTCAAGCCACTCGACATCAACCCGCTCACAGCTGCCCTGTTTTGTAATGCACAAGGAAACGAACGGCCGGTGCCAGTTTTTTTCCAGTTCACAAGGGCCTTGTTCTGTCACCTTGAGCAAATGGTTCCTGTCGGGCAGAGTGAGGTGGGAGGATTCACACACACAAACACACTTCTCCTCAAGACGTTGAGGATGTAGGTTTGCTGGATTCATATTGAATGTGAAAGAGTGAGTGGGACAATTAAAGTCCTTCAGCAGTTCAAAATGGCTGCAGTGATTTGACTCCGTGTGACACCTCGCAATCTTGCGTCGTGCTGCAAATGTTGTTTTTTCAAGGTGGAGCCAGGGCATGCCCTCGTGTTGCTCTGGATAAGACTAAAGTCGTCCAAAAGAGGAAATGGAAATTTCATGCAAATGTATTTGTCATGCAGTGAGATCATGTGTGAGAAACAAAGGGTGTCTCTGGTTCATGTTATGCCAAAGCATGAGCTCATCTAACATCAAGATGGCTGTTTTGGCCTTCGTGCCCTATGCGATAACGCTACTTAGAAAACATCCCTCCCCACATTTGGGAGTAGACATGGCTTACCCTCGAAATCTCTTAAATATTAGAGATGTTCCGATTCAATGTTTTCCTTCCCAGCCGATACGTAGCAATCCCATACCAGTGTGTAAAATTACAAAAAAGGGTCCAAATACATTACATTACAGTCATTTAGCAGACGCTTTTATCCAAAGTGACTTACAATAAGTGTATTCAACATAGGTATTCAAGAGAACTACTAGTCACCAGAAGTCATAAGTGCATCTTAAATGCTTTTTTAAACAAGCATTTAAGAGCATAAACCAGAGCAAAAGTACAATGCAGAAACAAACTAATACGATAAGTGCAACAAACTAATCATAATACTTCCCTCTCTAATATCTATTTTATATTGCTGTGAAAACATTTCCAGGATTCTTTCCAATTTCTCACTAAAAACTTGAACACATCATGATAGCGTCATGATTGATCTTTGTTCAAAACTACTGAATTGAACGCATCATCGTGAAACTCTACACAGCCAAACATTAACTAGCTCTCCTCCTGCTGATTTCAACACAGATTTGTTGTTAACAATGTGGCATTATCATGGAAAAAATGTGTTTAACCACAGCTGTGTAGTACTCTTTAGCACAAGTGCAGTAGCCATTGGGTAGGATGTACAGGTAAGGTAGCGAGTGACGCATGTCGTCGTTCCTGTGTTACTACGCAAATGAGCGTGATATGTTACCGGTGTATCGGATCGGCGTGTAGACTTGACCATAACCGATCCAGCAGCTACACAGGAGGCATTCCAGATACTCCCATGGGAACAGCTCTGTTAAATGCAACCTGTGAATCTCAAACACACAACGGTGAAGATTTTGACTTCCAACACAGTTTGAATTGTCGTGTATGTATGTGTATATGTGTATATATATGTGTATGTGTGTATATATATATATGTGTATGTGTGTATATATATGTGTGTGTGTGTGTGTGTGTGTGTGTGTGTGTGTGTATATATATATATATATATATATATGTATATATATGTATATATGTATGTGTATATATATGTATATATGT